AAATACGTGTGTGCGTGTATGTGTTTGGGAAATCAAACTTCCTACATTCCTTAACTAGAAATTGTAAAAGTGAACGTCATATAAATTGGGGATTACGGGAAAGATGACATTGGAGAAAAGATTACTAAGTAAAGGGGGGAGAGAGAGAGAGGAACAAAGAAACAAATGGCTTCACTACCACGAGGTCCATGTCGCCCCCTGGAATCCCTTTCCTGCAGGGGAGAATGCCTGTTGTCAAGCTTATGCCTTAAATCACTTCCTCTATATTCTCGTCTACCTGCAAAGATGAGGAAATTTTGTTTTAACAAGTTAAGTTAATGCTAGATGTTTTTTCTAAGAACAATCAATGAAGCAATGAAATTCTTACAAGGCTTATCTTACCATTACATGGAAAAGATGAGAAACAAAATATGGAACAGCATTAGTGCCGCCATGCCAGTTCCAAAAGAGCCATAGAAATAATGAAAATATATAGAAAAATCCATGCCTGAGATTAAACCATGGGATAACCTTCATATACCAAGTAGAACGAAGGATTAAACTCTGGTCTCCTCGATGAACAATAAGTTCACATAACTTTGATCTAAATAGGAGATTTCTCTGGGATTCCACATAGTGATATAAGTACACTCCAATGCAATGACGTACATCCAATTTCAATCCTTCATGCACTACTCCCATAAAAATTGCACTACTCCAACAAGAAGTCCATTTGGTATACTCAGGAGGAATAACCAATGAAGAACCTCTTCTAAGAAAAATGAAGCCCCATGAACAACAGTAGAGTAACCCATAAGATCATAATGGGGTAATTAACAAAAGCTGTGGGAGATGTATAAATTATGGCAAACAATTATGATTCTTCAACAAGTACTTTCGGATTTAGTTGATGCAGAACAAGGACCATAAACATCTCCAGGAATATATCACAGGCAGCTTTATCAAGAAAAATCCACCATATCCGTTCCAACAAAAAAGCTCTGATCTGGTTGATTATTTTTACTAGCCACTTCAGTGAACATGCAAGTCTGAAGACTTTTTGACATCTCCCATTATTGGAATTATTCAACGTCCTTCTACAATATGTCCATTGGGAAAGATGTGGATATCTCAAGTGATGACTCGTGCAGAACCAATTAAAAGATCGAAGATAACAAGCAACGAGATGCCCAAACCATATGGCATGGATGAGGAAGATTGTGTTCATATAGCTATACATTCACGGCAGACAGAATACTTTCAAATGATTGACTGAAACAACCTAGTTTTTAGTCCATTCTTAAGAGTTCCTCTCCATCATAATGCACCATAAGGAGCATTCAGAAAATATGTAGGTTATAATAAAGAGGAAAAAAAAAACATATACATTAGTAAAGAGGTACGTAAACAAGAACAGAAAGAAAAAATATATATAAATGCCCGATATTAAGAGCCCGTTCGGTAACGTTCTCGTTTTTTATTTTTTGTTTCCTTTTTTTAATAAAGAAAAAGATAATTGCATTTGGTAACTATTTCTTATTCTTCATTTTTTTTATTGAAAAAAGAATGAAACTTGATTTTATTGGAAATGGGAACAATAAACAATAAACTTAAGTTTCCAAAATTTCTATACAATTTTAGGAACATTTCTAGAAAAATGAGAAACAAGTTCTCAAATGCTCAAGTTTTTCAGCAAAACAAGAAATAATAAACAAGAAACAAGAGTGTTACCAAATAGGACGGAATAGGATAAGAAATGCTACAAATTAAGTCTATGAAAAAATTATAAGAAGAAGATCATACTGGAAGAAATAGCCACCACCAGCCTTTAAATTAGTCTTACCCCCATCCCCAAGCAGGAATTAAACTCGGAGCCGCCTGAATCACACATGCTCGCACAATTAAACCCAATAACATTTTCCATTATCTGACCACTGTACCACTATTATCATTGAAATAAGGATAATCAACTACGATAACCAAAAGATTTGAGAATCATACACCCCAGTAATTGCAAGAAACGTAGAAATTAGTGACTGTAAACTTCCATTTAATCACCCTACACGCCACCAACTAAAGAACATAGTAAAAGACCGTAGATACAAGGGCAAATTACCGTTGTAGGCACCACCACCACCAGCAAATCGCCTGAGTTCAGCGCTGCCGTGAGCGAACGAGCAACTTGGGCGAGAACAGCGGCCTTTCTGATAAAGCACGCATAACTTGGTCTTGAAAAGTTTGCGTCCGACCATCATCGATGAAGATGAAGAATAACACAGAAGGAGTATAAATTCGAAGTGGCAGTAATCGCTGTTTGAATCTGCTGCGGTGAATTATAAATAATAGATGTAGAACCGAATTGGAGTATTTCAGTCGCGAAAATCTGCTTCTCCGAATTATTAAGAATCAGAAAATATGCAAAACAGCCGAAATAGAACGGATTCGAGGGCTTGTGAAACGCGAGAGGACGGTTTCTGAAGTTTCCGCAGCTAGAACGCCGACCGCTTTGACGAACGCCGTGAATGAATGTGATGAGAGCGATTGAGGGGTTTTGTTTTTCTCCTCTTTTTCTTTTCCTCTTCGTGTGAGAAATGGCGGGGTTTTATGCCAAGGTTGCACCATTCTGTGAAAGGATAAATTGTAGGGCAAATTACTTTTTTTTCCCTTTTTTTGACATTTTCTATTTTGTCCCCAAAAAAAAAGGTTTGAGTTTGAGTTTGAGTTTTTGTTTTGTTTTTTATTATTTTTTTTACGGAGAAAAAACTTTGAGTGAAAGTAGTTTAATCTCTAAACTTATCAAGCTATGTTCGTTTTGGTCCCTTTTATGGTAGTTGTTAATACTTATTTTTTATATTTGTAAGTGTTCGGACCCTAAGCGCACCTCGACTAATCTCACGGTACAACTGTCTGACCCTACAACATTTGGTATCAAAAAACATATAGAAATTAGGTAGTCGTCATGGAATTTAAACTCATTCCTAACATAGTTGTTAAGACTTTAAAACTTAAATTACAAACCTCTATATTTTTAATTTTGTCTCTAATAAATTTCTAACTTTTAAAAAATATATAATAGTTCCCTACATCAGCTTATTTAACATTTATTAAAATTCACAAATATATTAGACTCTCCGTATTGAATTTTGTGTCTAACCTCTCAATTTTCTATCTAATTAATAAATTCTCAAAAATAAATGATAGATAATGGCCTGTTTAAATCTAATATTAAAAGTTTAGATCTACCATATGATAGATCTATTAAACACAAGTTTTTTTAGATCTACTATATAATCTTTAAAGTTTAAGGAGTTACTCTAACTAAACTTTAGTTATCAAAATTACAAGGAATAAATTAGACTAGTCCTCAAATAAGGAAATTTAAAAGAAGTTGTTAGTTTCTTAAGAATTTTGTAAAAAATTGTGGCAACAGAAGCAACGGTGTATATTTGGTTTATTAATGTGTTGTTAGGAATCGATACTAATTCAAAAAGTCTTGTTGCAGTTTTAAAATTGTTGAAAAGAAAATTGTTGCAATGGACCATTTTTTCTGTAGCGGCGATTTTCTCTCTATCTTCAAATTTTTTTGTCAATTATATTATTTTTAGAATTATTAGGACATTTTAGAAAACAAAATATATAATATACAGCTAAATAAATATTCAATAGTTTCATACCATTAATGTTGAGGGAGTAACTATAGATGTATTTTTGAAATTTGTATTAATGATTATTAGGAGTATATATGCAGATGTTCCAAATATGCATCTATAAATATCTCAAATAAAAATTGTCATTTTATTAAAATAATACTGATTTTAATCAAGATAAAAGCACGTAGGGTACAAATAGAAATATATTCGCAATAAAACTGAAGAAATAAAATTAAGTTTCAGCCTCAGGCGTTGACGAGAGCGCAGTGCTTCCGAATCTGGCCCTGGGCCCCGGTCTTAACCCCGATCCGGCCCATCTTTTCCATGGCCAAACCAAACTCCGCAAAGAAATTCTCGAGCGAGCCGTTGAGCAGCTGAGCCACGAAGGCCTTGGTGACGGGGCTGGTGGTGAGCGCGGCGTCGGACTGGAACAGCCCCCTCCGCTTCAGCACCTGCGAGTAGTAGCCCAGATCGAACGTCCTGAAACTCCCCGGGTCCATTTCCACGATCCCGTTCGCGTTTATGCTTCTGCACTTCTTGGCCTTCAAATTCGCCGCGTACTCGCTGTCCAGCGACGGGTCCTGGTCCCCCGCGCCCGTGAAGTTGTACAGCCGCCTTGTGAACGACGAGCAGTGGGATATCCCGATCGTGTGAGCGCCCGAGAGTAAAACTAGGTCTTTCAGATCCATCCCCTGGTTCGCGAAAAGTGTCTGGAGAGTTGATAAGTTCCCGAACGGCGGGGGAATGCTCGCCAATGCTTCCGATGATCTCGAGATCACACCGTCTCTTCTCCCCGTTGGAACCCTCCAAAATGGACCGCCCTGTGTAACAGTTAACCAATTTATTAAACACTTTTTAAAATGGATTAAGTTTTGAGTTGGATTAAGCTAGACTCATTACAATGGTAGCGATAGAGTCTCTTGCAACCAAAGTAAGAATGTCAGCACAAGAGACAATTCCTGGACACTCGGCTTCCAGAAGACTCTTAATTTTATCGATGAAGTCAAATCCTCTCAGCGTCAGATTCGGCGGAGACGCCTTCTCGCTTTGGCTGTTGGCGCTCGAGTTCAAAAGCACAGAAGCATCGCAACCCTAATGACCAAAAAAGAAATTAACTCCAAATTGAAGCTTCTACACAAAATGATATCAATCATCACGAAAGGAAGAATTCGATAACTTTAGAGGACAAACCCGAACAAAGCAGTCGTGGAAGTGCATTCTAATGAAAGCAGCGGCCAAAGAGGGAGCATTGGGAATGTGGTGGCTAACGAAATCATATACAATTTTCTCAGCGTGAGGGCAGGTTTTTGAATAAAACCCGAGCTCCAGCTGAGCCTGGCACGAGCTCGAAAGTCCTAAAACACATACGACTAGAAAGACAAGACCACGAAAGATCATAAGCTCCATTGTGTTGTTTTCTAAAATTATGATCTTCCAAGAGAAGCTTAAAGGAGCTGTGGTATTTTGGAATGTTATTATGAAGGGGGTATTTATAATATGATTTTTATCGTGATTGTCGGCTGCAGCTGCATGCAATTATTCGTAAAAATTTGTGTAGGAGATTATTATATATGTTGTTGGGAGGGAGAGTTGGGTCAATCAAAATATTCTTTGAAAGAAAACAGCTTACTGGGGACGTAGTAGACAGTAACATATTGTTATTGAAAAATAATGACAGATGGATTAGCGAGAGATGGCCAGCGGAGCAAGAGCTAACTAATTCATGTGCTGGGACTGAAATTAATGGATAATTAGAATGGTGTATATACTTTTTTCTTTTATATATATTAAAGTGTTTCACACTGCTACGACTAAAATAAAATATAAAAAAAAAAAGCTATTATTTTGACAGTTGGAGAGTTATGTTAAAATTTACTCAGAGTGTATATTTGAGATGACTTTTGAAATTTAAATTAATTTTTTTTTCTCCTAGTGCTTATTTATATATTAAGATGTGTACGTGTTTAGGTAATATAAACAAAAATTGAAATAAACTTTTGAGTTATTTTTTATTCTTAAATCAAGAATCTTTTAGTATTACTCTATATTATCAAAATCCTCTTTGGGCAGTCTCTCGCTCCACCGCTGAACACACCTACACCAAGATTTAATTAATTATTCGGTCTTTGTTAATTTGAGTATTATTATGAATTGATTATGAATCAAGAATATTCTGATAACTTATTTAATTACCTGTTAATTTGCCAACATGAATATAGGTTAGTAGTAATTAGCATGTGTACTAAAAAAAGCAGTAATTAGCATGCACTCTCATTCTTGGAAGTCGAAGGTTCGATCTCTTGTATCTCCAAATTGTTGTACTAAAAAAAATTACAAGCTAATTTAACTCCAAATTCTTGGTACTAAAGATTATTGAATAATAGGCTTATTTGATAATTAACGTGTGATTTTGTTTTTAAGAAGGTATGATTAAATTGTGTTTGTTTGTCATTTATGTATTTATTATTATTATTTTTTTGTTAATCTTTTACCTATTTTTAAAAACAAAAATCCAAAATTCTAAATATTTTTAATTTTGTAAAATTAATTTGATCAAGATCTCAAAATGATCAGTTTAAAAACTTAATTGAAAGTTGACAATTATTGGGCATTGACAAATTTTTCCATGTATTTCAAAAAATATATAAAGTTCCCTTTTCTCTTCCCAAAAGGCCACTGCACAAAAACACAATATTGAGAGTTGTTCTAATCATGAACATAAGAGAAGCATATATTATTATCACATGGGGAGCTAACAACTTCAGTATAAAAAAAGAAAGCAAGTTACCAAAAAAACTTATTTTAATAATATCGTCTTGGTTGGAGATATATATTCATTATCGTTGAGCTATACTCGCTTTGTAATACTTTGTATATATTTATTTGATAAAATTTACCAAAATTAATTGTTGGTCTAATGGCGATGTGGTTTGAGTCTCACATCTAATAAAAATAAATAAAAAAATACTTTAAAATTATTATTTGAATCAAATTAATAAAATTATTTACGTGAATTATTTAAATTTCATAAGAAATTTAAAAATGCAATTGATCAATTGAGCCTAATATTCTTTTAATGACAATTCAGTGTAATGATAACTTTCCAATGATAAAATATATATATTTTTTCTCTGTATGCAATTAGGTTTTTAAAAAAAGTAATAAATACTTTAAAATAAGTATGACAAAGAGAGTACCACTCTATTCATAGTTTAGAGCTGTATACAATTTTACTTTACACCGTATTAATTGCCTGCGATTTTTATGTAAAACATGTAGTATGCACAATTTATCTTGAATCATTATTAAATCATGACCGAATTAACGCGATTTATCTACTCTATTTTTAGAATAATTTGAAAATTACCCCAAATTTGTTTTCTTTTCTCATACATTACTTTTACAAGAAAAAAAAGGCCCCAATATACTTTCCCGGATTGGATAAGTACAATCATTTTCAGTTTTTTTTTTCTTTCTAGATTTTTTTTAATATTATCACACAACACGATTAGTTTTTTTTAACATCACTCTCTATTAAGCAACTAATTCACAATTATTACCATCTCAAGCAACTAATTCACAATTATTACCATCTCAAACGTCGGTAGTTAGATCTAACATAATAATTATTGACCTTAAGGAAAAAACTCAACTAGTAAAATATTAATAATGTCTCTTCTTGAATTATTGATTCGATTCATTTCAATTATATTGAAGTTGAAAAATAAAATTTAAATCCTAAAATAACTTATTTTAAGAAAGACTTGTTATTGTGAAAAATTATTCTTTTTTGGAGGATTTTTTTTATATTACAACATGCGGGGTGGGAAATCGAATTTACAAATCTTAGTTCGAGATATGTGTCAATTATCGATGAACTGTGTTCACTTTGACATTCTTTTTTTCTTTTTTCTCGATGGAGTAAGAGTCATAATAGTTATCAACTATATATAACCTTGAATGATATTAAAATTTACGCCAAACAATCATGCAGAAGCGTTCTATTTCTTTTAATAAAGAAATATTCAACACAGCTCAATCACACACACATTATTTTACTCAAATTTCAACTTAATCATAGTATATATTTTTCTTCACGTGGTTTGGGAATTATAAAATTCAATCTTCTCTACATAATTATTATTTTTCTCATTTCTTCGTTGACAATGACATCTAAAACAATATTATATTACCATTTGAATTTTTAGAAGAGAAGATGTGATGATTTTGCAATAAATAAAATGTCTCTCCATTTGTTAATTGTAGGTTTGAGTGTCTTATCTATTATCTAAAATTTAATATTCTTAAAATTTTATTTTGAAAAGAAACGACTGATGAGTGAGAAATTTATGGTTAAGATAGTAAAGTTAGACATTCGGACATATTTAAGTGGATAAGACATTTATTATCATCTCAATGCTAAAAACAATCCTATATTATATCCCAATGTCAATCCTTCATACCTTAAACTACATCATATAGAATAGATGGACATTGAACTCCGATCCCCCTCTCCCACTTTTGGTATTAATTCATTTTCTCACTCCCTCCAACCATCTGTGCCTTCCCAAGGATGGTAACTAGACGAAACGGGGTGGGTTTGGGAATGACACTCTCCGACCAGGGTTTTAAGAGATTTTTAATTATATGTCCCCCACTCAATTTAAGATTTTTATAACTTAGTAGAGGTGACGAGGAATACATTCTTCGTCTCCGTCCTCATCTCCAAAACTAAATTTAAGGGAAAAAAATATCTCTTATATTGACATGGAGAAATTCCTATCATATCAAGGATGGAATCTGCCATAAAATTAGCCACTTGTATGAAAAAAAGAAAGTGTGATTAAGATGGAGGGTTTTGATACCATGTAATGATATCATAAGAGACAAAAGAGTAGAGTATTATTATTCAAAAAAGAAATAAAATCTCTCCTTTTATGATGATCTATGAGATCATAAACGTATGATTATCTTCGCACTATACCATTTAACCTCCTTTCTCCTCTCGTTTCATTTTGCATTTTTATCCCCTTAAAAATTACCATTTTAATACAAAGTAACAATCCAATAATTTGAAATTACAAGTATATCAAATTGGTGTAATTTCAACATGTGGGAGTGAAGATCGAACTTATAACCTCTTGATTGGAGATATATATATATATAAATTATTACTGAGTTATGTTTGCTTTGACTTGTGTAACTTGTACTTAAATGCTATAAAATAATAGATCATATAAACGAACTTTTATTTATAGAGTATGATTTGTTAGAGAGTTGGAGGGTTAAGATTTTAGACTTTTGAATTTATATGGCTAGAGATTTCAAACATATAACATCTTTCGACTCAATTAAGAGAAGGAATATATGACAACTATTGCTGATCTACGATCATATATGAGAATAAGAGATATATATAATTATATTGAAATTTACTATTTGTTATTACTCTTTAATACGAAGTTAGCCACTCCTCAGGGTCAATTACAGTGAAAGTAATTGTTATACAGTTAAAATTTTAGTTCAAAAAATTGAAAAGGTTAAATATATATATGTTTTAGTACGTTGATATTTAGTATCCTTATAATACCTAGAGAGGTGATCAACATTTAGAGGGAGATCATGCCACTTGAGATAAAAAAAAAAAAAAAATTTAGTACATAAATAAACTTTAAATTTATGTCTAATAAGCCTCCAAACTTCAATTTTGCATATAATAAGTGTTTAGACTTCAAATGTAGTGATTGAACTTTTAATTTCATGTCTAATAAATTCCTTACTCATTCAACATCTTTTAATGCTAACGAATCTATTAGATATGAAATTGAATATTGGACATGATAGAATTCTAAACTTTCAATTTTGTGTTTAGTAAATTTTTAAAAATATCAAATTAGTTAGAAACTATTAGATATAAAACTAAAAGTTTAGAGATATTTTAAGCTCAAAGTTAAAAATGTAAAGACTTATTAAACACTTTTTAAAGTTTAGACATATTAGATATAAAATTGAAAATTCAATCACCCCTCAATTTATTAATCATAGAAATTATCAGATACGGTTTCACACTTGCTTCTCATCTGATTCTTCATTTAAATGTATAGTGTCTCCTTATTAAGTATTTTGTCATGTATATTTATTATTGGTCAATTTTAATGTTCATAAATTAATAACCACAAAGATATAATTCATAAACAGACTAAAATTAAAAAGCACTCAATATTTAAGGATTAAAACATATATTTAGATTGGAAAAAAAACATTCGAACGAATTTCTTATTTGAATAAAATAATAATAATTGGATTGCGTTACAATACAAGGCAAGATGAAATCACGACCGTCCGTGTTTCCCACGCGACAAATTCTGCAGGGCAAAAACATGAAACCCAATCCACACACCGAATCAAACGCACAAATCTTCTGCTGCAAATTAAGAACAGACGAACAAAACCACTCGACGGAAAAATAACTGCAACCGTCCGTTTCCAAAATCAGTTCACAAAAGCACAACGCCTCCGAATTTCGCCGTCGGCGCCGGTGAGCACTCCGATTTGGCCCATATTCAGCATCGATTGAGCGAAATCGGCGGCGAACGTAACGCCGCGCGTCATCGCCTGAAATTGAACGTAGGCCTTGGTGTCAGGATCGTCGAGAAGAGCCGAATCGGACTGGAACAATCCCCTTCTCTTCGATACGAGAGTGAAGTAATCGACATCGAAGGTCTTGACGCTTCCGGGATCCATCTCGACGGTCGTTTTCTGGTCCCCTGGCTTGCATTTCTTCTTCAACGAGACGGCGTAGTTCTTGTCCAATTTCGGATCGGCGTCGCCCTTGCCTGTGAAATTGTAGAGACGATTCGAGAAGGAGGTGCAGTGAGATACTCCGATGGTGTGCGCTCCTGAAATTGCGGCGGCGGCGGCGGTTGGTTATCGGAAAAAATGGAATAATTGAAAGAGGTAGCGAGAGATTTGAGAAAATTTACCGGACAGAACAACCAAATCCTTGACGGAGAGACCTTTGGAAAGGAAACTTGATTTTAGGGCAGAGATATTGGCGAAAGGAGGGGGCAAATTCGTCAAGGCTTCCCTCGATATCGATACTCTTCCGTCCCTTCTTCCTGTGGGAACTTCCCACAATGGCCCTCCAATCTGACAAAACAATCAAAATATTATAAACAATTTTCTTTTTAATTTTTGCTAATGTGCTTTTATTTGATTTTTTGCAAATAATTTATAATTTTTTCGGATGGAAAATCATGTTAAATGACAAAACTTAAGCTTAGGAGTTTTAACAAGTTTAATTACTCTGACATCATATTAAACCGCCATTAAATCTAAAGAGTTTGTTTGGTAATGTTATCATTTTAATTTTCTTAAGGAATCTAAACATTTTGTAACTAATTATGTTTATTGTTTCTAATTTTTTGGAACATTTTCGGTATAGAAATTTTAAAAAACAATCGAAACAGGTTTTTTTTAACTTGTTTTATTCTCATTTCAAATTTATTCTAAAATATAATTAAAAATATTACTTTATCATACTTGAATTTATAGATATTTGGACCATAAAATTCATTTTTCTTTATTAAAAATGAAGAAACATAGACAAAGAAACAAGTTATGCTAACTTTAAAGTTATTTCCAATTGGAAGGTCGCAAAGATTTTAGTTTCAATCTAATCCTATGATTTGGTTAAATTTCATTTAAATCAATGTGTTTTCTTTTATTTTTTTACACTACCTCGAACTATTATAAGCTAACTCAAAAAATAAAATAGCTCTGCATAATTCAATATAAAACCGTAACAATTTAATAATTTTTTTAATACTCTAACAACTTATAATTAATAAATAAAGATAGTTTATGAAATTTGACTAAATTGAAATTTCAAAGAATATAGAAACTAAATTTAACTGTGCTCGAAGTATAAAAATCAAATTGAAAGTTTTTTAAATCGAAGAGACTGAGTTGATTATTTAACCTTCATAATTTTATTTTATTATTTTATTGGTTGCAATTATATAGATTTGGTTTGGTTTCGTTAAAATATAATTGAAATGCAGATTGAAGCATGCATATTTACTATTTGTGATTGGTAATTACCAGTCTGACGGCGTCTCGAGCTACCAAAGCGACGACATCGGCACACGAAACGACGCCGGGGCACTGCTTTTCAACGGCTGCTTTGACGGCGTCAATGATATTCAACCCTTTTAAGCTAAGGTTAGGAATGGCGTCTTTCTCGGCTTGGTTGTTTGGCGTCGAATTTAGCAACACAGAACCATCACAGCCCTGTCATTATAGCATTCACCACAATTAATCAGCGAATGAAAATCTATATTCCTATGTTACGAAATCATTTTTCTAAAAGAAAAAAAAATTGCAACTCCAAACTTATAAACTTATTGTAATTAAATTATGCTTCTATAATTCTGTCAATAGCCCAATATCAACTTAGCTAAAGTTTAAATCCCTTACATAAATCACCCATTTACTAAATTAAATCTCGAATTTATTAAATTAAATTCTTGAAATTATGCAAATTTTACTCTAAAACTTACAAAATTATTCATACGAACCCACCGCTAAAAGTCTAAAAATGTGGTATAATTATAGTAGAATTTAATTGTGACTTACGATTTCATATATGTATAAATGAAGAGCAGGAAAATAAATGTGGTAATTTACCTTAACAAAGCAGTCATGGAAGTGCACCCTCAACAAAGAAGCTGCCAAACTTGGTTGTTTCAGTACATACTGAGCCACCGTTTTGCCAATGATATACTCTACCGCAGGACAGCTATATCGGTAAAACCCGAGTTCCAATCCCTTCGCTTCAGCAACATTCGAGAGAGACGACACGAGCATCAGCTGAAGGAAGAGAAGGGAGAAAAGCTTTGGACTAATGGTCATGGTTTGGTTTTTCAGCTTTAAGTGATGTTTTGATGCACTTAAGCTTTTGGGATATGGCGATTTGTATTGGAATTTTGTTTGGTTTTATAGTTGAGTTTTGGGTTTGGAAGTTTGAACTTGTCATGAAACAATCTGTCAAAGGAACTTTTTTCTTCCTCTTGAAGAGTTTGATCTTGTATATTTTAGTTTTGGTTTGTTGAAGTGTCTTTAATTAAAAACTCAATTTTGAGTTTTGACATTCTTTTTGTAAAATATGTCATATATTAAAATCTATGTTTTCTTTAATATAATATATAGTTTTAGTTGTGTTTTTTGTATTATATGTTTTTAGCTGTTGTTCTTTGTTTAGGGTTTCTTAGTCAAATGTTGTTTTTAGCTGCTATAATTAATGCTCTCCAACCACCAAGAAAAGACTAATCCAAAGGTATTATTATCGAGTTGTGAATAATATTGAATTATTAATTAATAAATCCAATTTAATACAAAGAAGTTTGGTAAGCCCAATTAACAAAACAATATTAGCACGAATCCACAAAGTTCTAAACTACCAAAATAGACATAACTCAGCCGTAATTGACATATGTATAAAATAAAACCCTAAAATTTTATCAAAAAGTAAAAAAAAAATAATAATAAATAATTTTTTTTATGATTTTTGACTATTTTTTTTAGTATAACACATAAGGGTGTAGATTCGAATTCAAGTCTAGTTGAGTTATGTTCAGGTCGGTTATAATATCGATAATGAATTCAACATGGTAGAGCGGGAAAGAAAATTAATCCCGCATCGCACAAAATCAAGTTGGTGATTATTTAACACAAAAAAGAATAATTAAGAAAAATGTCCATATGGAAAGCGTTGACATTTATGTATAAAACCGTATGCCAATTATTTGCTAATAAAACATTCTGTAATGTTTAGCTTTTGGGAATATGCAGTTAGTGCTTTGCATTTTACTCACGTAGCTGTTAGGTGGTGTATATTTTCCAGGAAAGTGAAAGGGGTTGACGCCAGCGACTTTCCAACGGATTTTCTGACCAGCCAAACACTGGTTAAACATTGAAGGTCAACGATTTTGAGTAATTTTCTGACCATCCAAACAGGGAAAATAATATTGCTTTTACCATGAAAATTATGAGCATTGGTTATTACTTTAGTTTTTTTAAATTGGATATACTGTTGTTTTCTTGAAGATGAAAAATTACGAGGAAGGGTTTTAAAAATTTAAATTTAGTTCATATGGGTTGAGTTTAAGTTTTAATTGGGTTTGATTGAACCTTTGTAAATCATTCTTAAAAATTAATTTAAATTCTTTTATTTTTACTCAATCATGAATCCAAATCAACACGGCTAGTCAAATATATAGAAAACATCACGTCATTGTCCTATAAAAATGAGTCAATATATGATAACAAACTAATCTGGATGATTTGTGCAGTTTMACTAGACCATAAAATTAAATTGAAATTTTTAAAATTAAAAAGACAATAAATGAAATAAAGTCCTAACTTGGGGTTAAATTTAAACAAAGTCCTAGCCATAGTAGGGGTTAATTAATTGAAAATTTTCCCATCATAGTGCCTTGCACAAGATCTTTAGAGAAGTTTGTTTGGTTGAACTTGGTTTGTATTTTTTTTAGTAGGTACAATCTCCTATCTATTGGTGTATACTCTGATTAAAATTTCAAAGTCTTAAAAATCTTATTATCTTTGGGAGTCTCTTCAGAACTTTGAAATGAATAGTGACTCTATTATTTATAGAATTTTCCACGAGTTTTAGTGAGTCTAGGCTTTAGGTGATTTTTGGATCCAAACTTTGGACTTGGCTCTACTTGTATGGGTCATAGGCCTAATTCTCTTTAATGGATTCAAACTTATTCAACTACTTGTATGGGTCATAGGCCTAATTCTCTTTAATGGATTTAGACTTATTCAATTTTGTTTATAAGTAGAATGATTTTGGACTTATTTGATCATGGGCTCAATTTCATTTTTATATCAAGCTAATCCCATCAAACTACCTTAAGAAAGACACATATAATGTGATAGCTTCTAGAATAGGAATCAAATTGAAATCATCTACAAAGCCTAGGGAGTTAGGACCAAAACTTGTAATTTAACTTTGAAAACAATATTGTAATATAAAAATATGACCGAGAAGTTTTGTGTTAATTGATACACATTTACCCAACCAGGGCATAGGTAACGATTCAATTAGTATTTTTCATCTAGGATTCAAATGTCAGGTTTAGAATTTGTGAAAAAAAACATCGACACAAATTTGTTTAATTACAAACGGTTAAAAATTAGATCAGTTTAATTATATCTAACATGGAAAAAAAAACAATTTAATTTTTTTCCTAAAAAAAAAATTCATTTTTTAACCACCAAAGGTGTCTATTTCTTAGTACTTTTGGTTTAGTTTAAGTGGAAACTAAAAATAGTAAAATAAAAACATTATACAGTATTTATAGTAGCACAGTTATAAAAGTTTATAAAATAAAAAGTGGAATATTTGTATTCTACATGAAATAGATATATACATATTTTTTAACATTATTATTGACATTGAATCCATTTTTATATTTGTACCAAAGAAAAAAACATATAATGGAAACTTTTTCTTCCAAAGTATCCCAAATTCTCTTAAAAAAAAGGGCAATTCAAACTTTTTTTTTAAAGCAAAATCATAAAACGAAAATTAAATATTGTGATCTCAGGTGCAACAAAGCAAGAAACTACCGCCGAATTGATATAATTTCAAGGGTTCTCTTTACCGTCGAAATATTTTAAATTGTAATTTGTACGGTATGAGGCCGAGGGATTTCAATAAATAAATAAATAAATATATATATATATATATATATATATATATTTTTTTTTTAAAATGAAGGGATCCCAAATTTGATAGCTAAAATTTTGAAAAGACAATTATACACCATTGGCATATATTTTAAATATAACATAAGATTTAAAATCTTACAAAAATAGCATAACTTAATCAAAGTCTAATTTAAATTTAATGGAGATATAATAAAAAATAAATAAAAATTATTTTATATTTTTAAAAATAGAAATTTGTTATATTTTTTAAAATACATATTATTTTATGCCATGGAGTGAAATTTCTTTTAAAAAAAATCACATCCATATTACTTCTTTTTTCTTGAAAACTATAGAGATATTAATCATGTAAAAAAGGATATCAATATTTAGCTTATTTTTTCATATGGAAAAATCAAAAGAAACTAGAGATTATTTTCTTAGAAGAAATTATCAAAATTTGCATTTCCGGAATCCGGATCTGTTTCTCGTTTTGTTCTCGTCGTCACAAGAATCGATCTGCTGTCAGTTGAAATCGATCACGCTCTTCAAAAGAACGGAGCATCGTTTCTGCATGAATTCGAACAATAAATTAATCCCCACCTTCCAGAAGGAAAAATCCCCCCCAATTTCAAAAGCCCTAATCGGAGAAATCCAATCGCGACGCCAATGGAGATATTCGTAGTAACATTCGGACACGAATTCGCCATAGAAATAAGCAATCAAGAACCAATCCTCGAGATCAAAAGAAAGGTCGAACAGTTCATCGGCATTCCCGTGGAATCGCAAGCTCTCTCGATTTACGGATGCGAATTAGTCGACGGACTCGACATGGAGGATTACGAATTCATCTCGGAAGGTTCGCGAATCGATCTTTCAATCAACCAAATCATCGCACCGCCGATTCTGAATCTGCAAACAGCAAGCAAGATTCCGATCACCGTGAAATTCTCCGGCCGGCAGATAAACGTGGAGGTTGATATAACAGAGACGGTTCGCGGATTGAAGGAGAAAATCCAGACAATCGACGGGACGCCGATGCAAGGAATGTCGTTGTTCCATTCCGGAGTGGAATTAGGCGACGATTGCCGGAATTTGAGCGAGTTTGGAATCGGCGAATTTTCTAAAGTGATCGTGTTCGTGAAAACGAAGAGTCGTGTGAGCGATTCGCCGTGGAGGAATGTGAGTTTCGTGGTGCAGACGTCGTCGAGTTTGCTTAATGCGGCGTGTATTCCGATGGAAATGAAGGATTCGACCACCGTCGGCGACGTGAGGGAACTGCTTTTGGCCGGAAAAGTTCTTCCGGACGACGATTATCTGTTCATACACAAACAGAGGATTATGAGAGATAAGTGTAGTTTAAGATGGCATGGGGTCGAAAATGGCGATTTTCTCTATGTTTTTAAAGGCACCGTTAGCCCCGGTGAATATTGATATAACACGAATTCGCCATAAAAAATTATCAATACTTAAGACTTATATTAGATGACTAATTAAAAAAATTAAAAAGTAAGTCCTATTTTTATATAGATTAATTAATTAATTAAAAGTCTCATTTCTCATTCTCATTCTCGCTCGTTTGTTTCAACTAAAAACTTACTGCACTTCTATATTTTTTAGTTGGAGTGAGAACTGATAAGTAACCTAAGAAATTTGAATTCTAAATTAAGTAGTGAATAATTCTCTCTTTTTTTTTCCTTTAAAAAGGTAAATAGTAAATAACTCGAATGTTATTAGAGTTAAAAAAACAATAAATTATATTAAATATCAAGTAATTAAATATCCTACATTTATGCCAACATCCTCGTCAACATGGCTACTTCCCATTTCCCAAATTTGAATATATGTTAAATCTCTTTTCGATTTTAATTTTTTAGAAACTGAATGTTGAATTCAAGAAAAAAGAAAAATGGTAGAAATCGCTGACAGCTATAATAATATGTCACCTGATCCACACTTTTTAATAAAATTCTTTAAGAGGGTTAATCAATATATGAATATTTGCCCGTTTTCTAATCGGAGATAAGTGTTATATTAATATATATGTATGAACTTAGGATTATTACGAAACCTTTCTTAATCATATCATCACTATTCATTTATATATGCCGTCTCCAATTAAAAATTTTTAGATTGGGGGACAGAAGGGTCATAATACCACCCAATCTGAAATCACAGGATATTAGCAGAAGAAGAAAACCCTAATAACCATACCTATGGTTCCAGTCGAAGAGAAGAATATTGTGACACGTAAAGAAGAAGAGGCGAGAGTGATGATCCTGATCAGGATCATCACCGCCATGATCACGATCATCTTCATGATCAAGCGGATGGAAAAAGATATAAATGTGGGACCCATCTTTGACGCCACAATCAACGAGCGAGAATCCATCATCGTCCTTACTGATCGGTCGGCCAGGGTTGTCGTCGGCGATGAAGATCAGACGGTCAGAAGGGAGGTCGTTGTTGTGGTGGGCACTGATCTCGGCCTTAAGATCAGACACGGTGGCGTCGTCTTTGACCTGAATGTGGAACAGAGAACCGGTCAAGTTTTCCACCGCCAGCTTCATCCCGGCCTTTAAACCTTCCGATAAACCCAAAATAATTTTAATTATAAAAACGAGAGAGAATTGTTGCAAGGAAATCATAATTAAGAGGAAATTAAAAAGTGTTCATGATTGCTGCATTTTCGGTGGTTAGTTTGAAGTTTAGGAATGAGTGTGGTGCAGAGTCGCGGGAAATAAGCTCATCAGATGGAGTTTCTATATATATATTTTTATGTTTATTTTTATAATTCCATTAATACCAAAACAAACCAACAATATTCAATTCAATATCCTCTTATCTTAATTATCTCAACGATCTCAACCATATTTTTCCCTTTTATTTCTTTATTATATTTTAGGTTAAACTAGTTAATATGGTTTTAAATATTTTAATATAATATCTCTAACAATTTAATTTAAGATATAAAATTACAACTAAACATAATTTCAACGGTAAAATATGTATCTATTAAAAGGTGGAGCGCAAAATTGGAAGACAAAGATTCTCCCCATAGCCCCATAGATATAGATATAGATAATAYTTTTGATTTCCGTATAAGTAACGATTCAGTCAATTCAGTTTTAAATTGATAATAATTTAGTTTCAATTGTATGAAAATCTCATCAAAATACAGCGTTGGRTTCTTATATTTAGTCTTTATATTTTATAAACATATTTGAGATCTATATATATAAGAAAACTATTTAAATCTTAACAATATATTTTATCATATAAATTAAATCAAAATAATTTTTAAACTAAAAAAAGGATTACATATTCAATACTTAGATGAAAATAACAGGGACTAGTGGTACTTTTTGACCATATTTTAAGTCCTCGGTGGAAATTGGTAAAATTCAGATGCTTGGTTGGTGATTTAGAATATATTTATAGAACTGTTCGGTTGATTTTCAAAGTTGAAAATATTATCACATGAACTTTTATATATTATCACATATTTAAATATAATTAAATTTCTTTATTTTGGAAAGATAAAAGAAAATAAAAAAATTTATTGATTTAAACTTTTAATCTAAATTTATTAATTAGAAATTAAAATATTAYAAGGCTAAATAAGTAATTTATTTTGAATTATGTGAAAATTAATTTCAATGTTGTATTATCACATAACTTACGCAATTGATTAAGGCATTATTCGAGTTAAGACGCATGTATTCAACCATGARGTTGAGATCAGTTTGAATCTCCATCCCCACATGTTGTACTAWAAAAAATTGATTAAGACATTCGAGCCATGTAAACAGTGGTGKATCCATAATTTTACGGCACAAATGCATATAAACATAATGAAAAAATATCAATTTTAAACTTTAACTTGGCAAATGTGTATCAATTTGCACCTTACTTTGTAAGTTTTACGTGTGTCGTAAATTTTATCCTTTCGATAGATTTTCATTTTAAAATTTGTAGAAAAAATATTCTTGTGTGTCAGATGAAAAAAAATTGATATGAAAAAATTGATATGATTTAGAAAAAAACCAACATTAGTTGARTTATTTAATAGTAGATTTGTGTATTAATCCAACCTAATTTGAGAAAAAAAAACCATTTGAAGTAGAATTTTTTAATAAATCTGTTTTTATGTTATTTTGTACTATGCAATTCTTTTATTTTTGGGATCATTTTCTCACGAGAGGTAACTAAAAGAAATTATAAAATAGGGTTSTTATCATGGATAAATGAAAATTTTATGGATAAGACCTTTTCGATGATAGAAAAGTTACTTATTTTAATAAAACAATATTTAAAAAATTAGAATATCTTTGAGATTGAATCACATCCCAATAAAAATATATTTAAAAAGAAGAAAAAGATGGGTTAAAAAAGTGTTAAAAAAATAAAGATGTTCTGAAAATGAAAAATTAAAAATAAAACAAAAAACATGTGCTTAGCACTAGAAAAGAAAAACAAAAAAATAAATAAAGAGAACACGCTAGCTATGATTCGAACGTAGGATGCTGAAGCTAGGGCACGAAGTCGTGTGAAAAAAAAAAGGGTCTAACTGTGATTCAAACGTTAGATGCGCCTGAAACAAGTGAACGTAGTCACATGATAAGAAAAAACTAGTAGGCCACATAACATTTTGTGTTCTCGGACACGTGCCCGTGGTCCTAATATGAATTTTTTAAGAGGAGCAGSTCATATCAAAAACACATTCATGCGTTTCATCTCAAAACCTTAATTATGAGAGGAGCAGCTCATATCTATTATAAATATTTTTTAAGTCCCTTAACTTACAACTTCTTGGTTAGAGGTATGTGCCAATTACAATTGAGCTATGCTCACTTTGACAAATATAATTTAACTTAAATGGTAAAATGATTAGTTACTAATAAATATGGATTCATGATTTCGACATGAAGTATTAATTATTTGTAAATTTTTTTTTGTTACTATAATAATATGGATATTCATTCTAGTCTTAAATATTTATAAAGGCAAAATAATAATGTGAAAAAATTCTAAAAAAGAGAGAAAAATACACTTTTTAGTCCTTGAGGCGTTTGAGCCAGATATCTATTTAGTCCATGAAGTTTTTAAAGATGCAATTTTGGTCCATGAAGTTTTTAGAGGTATGTGAGTTGACTGTTAGTTGACTTTACAAAATGTTGACATGRCTTGATGACTTTGTTAATTTTTTCTATATATTATGGGGTAAATGTGCTTGGAAAATTAGATGAATTAAATTTAAAAAGATAAAATTTAAAATTAAAACTAAAGGAAAAGACAAAACTAACCCTAAAAGCGTAGGACTTCTCAAATCCCTCCTTCCCTCTCATATTTGCTTCTCGTTACGATTCTTCCACCATTGAAGAAAARTCATCTCCCTCTTTCTGCAACTTTTGCTCTAGGTTTTTTGCGATTTAACCTGGAATCTGCGACTACATCTAGAACTGCGATTATTTCTTTCTTGTGGGTTTCGTGTTGTTAAGAGGTTGGTTGTGCTCTCGTAGTCGTGAAAATTAATATTTTTTATTTAGAAATATAATTGACCATTTGAATTTTGGTCAATTAGGATTAGGTATGGCAATGAGGCAGAGTGGGGTCGGGGACCATTCCTATCCCTGCCCGATGGGGACTTTCTCCCCKTCCCTGCTTCCGTCCCTGAAATTTCGAGGGCAGGGTTCACTTTTGGGGAACATATGTACATATTTTATTTATTTTTATTTTTTATTGCTAATATAAGAAGGGAAGAAAAAGTGGGCTTGGACTTTTTCAGAAAAGAAAAATTAAAAAGGTATTTATGATAATTAATATATATATTAATATTATTATGTAACAGGGTGGGAATGAGAATGGAGATAGGACGTGGAGACTTCCCCATCCCCACCTTATGCTGTCCGAGACTCCAATTAAGATCCTCGATTTGACCCCATTCCAAATAAAATCAGAGATTTTCCGATCCGATTGGGTTGGATAGATGCGGAAATAGGKTCATCATGTTTTTTTTTGCCATCCCTATTAAGGATTAGGTGACCCTTAAACAAAACGTTAAGGTGTGAGTGACAGTAGGGAATCGCCGCTCTTGCTATTATCCTATTGCGACGTAATTCACGGGAACGGAAGGTGTTAAATTAAAACTTTCAAAACTCCGTCCACGCGATAATCCAAGGTGACGTCGTTTCACCGATAGCCCTAAGCCGTCGGATCAACAAAGATCATCTCCACCGTAAAAAGTAAATAAGGGAAAAACTAAAACCGACTAAAATCGATGTAATAGAGCCATAAAGGTTTGTGTGGCTTCCAAAATTTCTCTCYCCCATATAAACTTTCATTGACTTCGATCCATTCTCTTTCACGTCTCTTCGTCTCCGGATTCACACTTTTTTCTCCTGGTAAATTTTTGTTTATCGCTGTGTCTTTCATTATTCTCCATGCACAATTTCCTTTATGCGGTTGTTTGTTGTTTTCCTGATTTCTAATCGAGCCCTTTTTCAGTTTCTCTCTTTGGGTTAGGGTTCCTTTTTGTGCGGGGGATCGAAGCGCAAGATCTGTTAGTTTTTCTGGGACGTAAGAGTTTTGATGTTTTTGAAGTGAAACATTATACCTGCTTTGATTGTTATTCTTTTTGTTTGAGTTATGGTTCTGTAATTTTATTTAATTTGTCCGCAATATTTCGATCCCAAGTTTAACTTCCTCTCTCTCGTGGGCTGCTTATGATTGTGTGTGTTGAAGTTTGGGTGAGGGAGGGGGATGTTGTTTTTCTGTATATGGCGAGATAATTGAATTGACAGGTCAATTGCTACGTAAATTGGAGAAATAAAGGGTGTCAGATGACGTGCTTTAGGTTTTGAAGACATGATTGGTTATCTGGTTCATGGAGAAGAGCGGATAGATACTTTGCACTTCGTATAATTGTTTGATCTCTGACAGCGTTTAATTTTCTTCTATTTGTCTGACTCGATTGGAGAAAAGAAACAAGTAGCTCTGTAAAAGGCCATCGACTGTGGTTTTCTTGTTTGTGATCTACGTTTTGATCTGCTAAGCTTTGTTTATGGTTATGAATTTTTGAGTTTGTGGTCTTTTTTATTTTTTATTTTCTTAATATCTTTAATCGAGAAGTCTGTGTGACTATGAGGATGAGTGGTGGATTATACTTTCTGCTTTTAGACGAATCAATGCCTGATACTTCTGTATCATGTGGTTTCATCTCTGGATCTGTTATGTCTTGCAGATTTGAGCAGCTTGATTGATAGCTCGTAATTTGTTTGCTGGTTACCTGTGTTCCACTCCGGACAGCCAAGTTTCATGTCTGAATTCAACGTGCAGATTCCATCTGCTTTTGGTAGCTTCACAAGTCCCTGTTCTTGGTTTTTTACTTTTTAGCAAGCTGTATTGCATAAGAAGCTTAATTGTTCGTTTGGATATTAATTAATTTTATTTTGTGGTTAGACCCGTTTGCTGATGCAAATGCTGAGGACTCAGGAGCCGGGGCAAAAGAGTATGTTCATGTGCGCATACAGCAACGTAACGGGAGAAAAAGTTTGACAACTGTTCAAGGATTGAAGAAGGAATTTAGTTATAACAAGATACTCAAAGACCTGAAGAAGGAATTCTGCTGTAATGGCACTGTTGTGCAAGATCCTGAGCTAGGCCAGGTGAGTTCCCCCTCCCTAAATGATGCTGTCTGTTGAGGCCCCCACTGGATAGGAATTCTGGTGTAATGACTTTTTTTTCTCCCTGTTGATGCACCTACCGGAAAGGGACATAGTTTCCACTTTTGGGATAAAAGAGGCAAAAACAACTCAAGCATTCGAGATGATTGATCTCTCCCCAAGTTATGCAGCTTACAAAATATCCATACTATAGTATAGTATAGCACTTCTATTCTACATACATAGTCCAAACATAACCATAAGGGGTCTCCTTAAAGTGATGATACAAATTATTCCCTCTGTCTCTAACTAACCTTCTTACTCTCCTCACTTAACTTCCCTCGTGTGCCCTCCTTGAATATGTAACGTGTATGGGATATTTGCTCTTGCCTATCACTTAGCAGTCCATGGGCTTCTACAGACGCTGACCGAGAATGTATCTTTAGGTTGTGGTTGGGTTACATATCACGAATAGGAATTTAAAGGGTGTTATGGTACTGCTGCATTTAACATGATAGTAGGAGTGTGAATACATATGCTTTGAGTTGTTTTTTATCCTTTTTGGTGAAAATATACTGTGTCACAATCACGAATAACATCACTTGTGATGGATGCCCTGCAGGTCATACAACTTCAGGGAGACCAGAGAAAGAATGTGTCTACCTTCCTTGTGCAGGTAATGAACGACTGTAAATAGTTTGTGACCATRATTATGTCTTTGGTAGCGGTTTTTGATATATTCACTCATTTTTTTTTTTCCTGAACCAATAGGCTGGCATTGTGAAGAAGGAGAACATCAAGATTCACGGTTTCTAAAGAGCTGCAAGATTGAAATATATTACTGTTTACAGCAGCTTAACTGATAGTAGTGGACAATTATATAGCTACTTTTAGAACTTAAAAGAGTGCATGTTACAACTCTCGATCCATGTATGCTTCGTTGTGCAGACCAAGTTATGGATCATTGGACCCTTTTAACTGATAATATGTTTCCTGCTTTCTCATCTCGATGGCGACATTCTATCTACCTATTGTTTTCCGATTTTGATTGATTGGATGTAACAGGCATGAGATATAATATCTGCCCAGCCTCACGCATCCATGAAGAGACTCTTTTTCCTGTTTGATGTATTAACAGTAGGCAACAGAAACAAGGGAGCCGCCTGGATTGGAGAAAAGAAAAAAAAAAGCTGTGAATATAGATGCTCCATAAAGTAAAGTAATCTTTTGCTTTTCTGTTAAAGAGCTCTACTGGAATCCAATATGTACTCCAAAAAGGGGCTGTGGGAGGCATCTCCTCTCCTTTGGTGTTCAGAAAGGAGCCTGTGCACTCTTTACTTTAGTTTTGGTGATCTTTGGGCATTATTTGCTTAGCAGGACGAGGAATTAGAATTGRGAAAATGGATTGGGGTATCTTCATTTTTTGTTGTATTTGTAAATATGTAAGATAATGTAAATGTGTTTTCTATGAAGAAGAATTCATTAATCAATAGACAATTATAAGCCTTACAGTCGCCTTTTTATTACCCACTTAATTAACAACTTAAAAATGTTCCCTTTTTTTGTTTCCTCCTCTTTAATAAAGAAGGATATAATTGTATTTAGTAATAATTTCTGATTCTTTTTATAATGCTTTTTATACTTTTTATTTACATTTGAAAAAATAAAAAATGAGAACAAAAAACTTCATTTGAAAAATAAAAAACGGGAACTTTATCAGATTGGCTTAAACTCTATCTAGAAATTTGTTGCATAAACTCTATCTAGAAATTTGTTGCATAAACTCCGTGAGTGTGAAAATTTGCTAGTTCAGTTAAAGTTCAAAGTTTACCCCTTCATCTATTTGAAAAGGTCAAAATATAAAATAAAATTTAAGTTTAATTTTTACGATATTTGTTAGTATTTCAATTATGCCAAGAGTTCGTGAGTTTGAATTCCGACTCTCACCAAAAAAATTTATGCTAGATTGATGGCCCCTTGTAAGAACAATTATAAAGTATGAACATTCTACTTAATCTATTTCATGGCCACATATTTTTCCAGCTAAAGAATGAGAACACTTCACTTTGTTATATAAATCAATTTTTCATTTCATCGGGAAAAATATACGTATGATCAGACCTCATATCTTAAAGGGCGTTTTAGAGGACGTTTGAGGTACAAATTTGATAAGAAAAATTTGTGAAATTCCAAGTTGGAAAACTGATAGAAAAACCAAAACAAACATAATTAAAGGACAAAAACATATTTGATGATGACACAATTAACTCATGGTGGGTGGTTTTCTAGCTAGATTTATGAACATCTCTTCATTCGAGTGTGACATGTTAACTCATGAGTCGTGGGTGGCAAAGTTACAAGAGCATGGAGTGTAGAGAAAACCTTCACTGTGACCTCGCCTTTGATGGTCTTTGATAAAAATTTGAAGAAATTTCTAAAGGATCAAGGAATCCACCCCAGCTCATATTGGATATAGAGATCAGCGGCATGTGCTTTATGGATGCCTTCATTCAATTAGTATCACCACTCCTGCGAGCTCCACAGAACTTATGATAGTCACGTATTTCGCCCCTAACACTGTATAGCTGCTTGAGTTTTTAACAATTGCTCATAAACCCATATTTTCTGCTACCAAAAAAAGCAACAGAGTTAAGTTTAAAGTAAGGTGGGTGTGAGGGGTGCCAACACTGAGCTGTAGGAGAAACATCAAGATTTTGTAAAATTGATATTTACTCATCAAAAATAACTCTAAAACGTTTGCAGGAAGGTCACCCAATTCAAGAGTGGATCCAACTTTAATTTTGAAGTTCATATGATTCTTTTAAACATTTCTTAACTATGCATCCATGATCTCAGRATCTCTCTTATTCGGATGTGGTGTCAGTTCATTCATGTAACTCTCTTCTCTATTCAAGTAYGTCAGATGCCAACCAGTTTCCACTTGGTTCGTCCTCGAACTACATCGTACTGGAAGATGTTCCGCTTTGATATCGTTTGTAACRTCTTGGGTTCAAGATTAGAATCARGATTTTGAATTCGATTTCGAATTCGGCACCCGATCTGAATCCTAGTCTCGAGGCRTTACAATAAATTTCAAATTGTGGTTGRAAATAAGTAAAAAGAGTCATTTTTATAATTCAAAATAAAGAAAGAGTTAATTAGAAAAACTTTTGAGATTATTCACTCTTTTAATATTCTATAATATAATTACACATTACTAAATGATGACGCTAAAACCCTTTTATATTATAACATTAGAATGCAAAATTAAATGAAACAGAATTTCGAAAGAAAAAAAGATGGCAGAGATAAAGGATTTGAGAGAGAAGTGTGAGTATTTACATAGGTGTGGAAAGAGAGTAAAAAATGAGAGATAGTTGGAAGGGAAGATAGGAAGGAGAGAGAGTACAAACATATTCCAATGACAAGATTGTCATTAAAATAATAATAAAAATGTTTAAGTTAAAAATGCAAAATGAGTAAAAGAAAATTTCTCAAAAGCAAGTTTCTTGATTCTGGTTTCTAATTCTAATTTGTTCCAAAACTTAATTAAGAATATAATTTTATTATTTTTGAATTTATGGATGTTGTAGAAATTKGAGCATGATCTACGAGGGCTGAGCTATATAGTTCACGAGGCACGCCGAGCTTTTGGGTCGTTGTTGCCACTTAGGTCGAGAGTTTATCCCGTACTTATTGGGAACAGGTTCTAATGTTGAAGAGTACGACCAATCGTGAAGGGTAGGTCACCTACCCAGAGAGCAGTTGAATAATTTGATTAGATGGACAATTACCCATCTAGTTTCTATAAATACAATAATGCRATTAGGTAGGAAAAATCTCTCTAAAGTTGATATGCTTAACTCGAACTTAAAATTAACTTGAACGTCGGAGTGTTTTACTCATTTTTGTAAGTCTCTCACTCCTAGTTCGCTAGGGTCCCAAACACATCACTCTACTATGYAAGGTAGATTTTGACCTCAACCCGATGGTTGGAGCAATGCAATTTTATTTATATTTATTAAAAAAGAAGAAACATAAGTAGCAGTTTAAAACTATAGTCCATCCCACGCAATCATCCAGCTAACATAAAAAGCAACGGGGTGACGTCGTTTAGGTGACAGCCCTGAGCCGTCGGATTAACTGCTATATTTAATCTCGACCGTAAAAGGTAAATAAGAGAGAAACCAAAACCGACTAAAATCGATGTAATAGAGGTTTGCTTTGTTTGTGTGGCTTCCAGAATTTCTCTCTCCCATATAAACTTTTATTGACTTCACACCATTCTCCTTCACGTCTCTTCGTCTCCGGATTCACACTTTTTTCTCCTGGTAAATTCTTGTTTATCGCTGTGTCTTTCATTATTCTCCATGCACAATTTCCTTTTTGTGGTTGTTTTGTTGTTGTTTTCCTGATTTCTAATCGAGCCTTTTCCAGTTTCTCTTTTTGAGTTAGGGTTCCTTTTTGTGCGTGGGATCGAAGCGCAAGATCTGTTAGTTTTTCTTGGACGTAAGAGTTTTGATGTTTTTGAATGAAACATTATACCTGCTTTGATTGTTATTCTTTTTGATTGAGTTATGCTCTGTAATTTTATTTAATTTGTGCGCAATATTTTGATCCCTAGTTTACTTCCTCTCTCTCACGGGCTGCTTATGACTGTGTGCGTGTGTTAGGGTTGTTTTTCTGTATTCTTGGCGAGATAATTGAGAGGTCAATTGCTTCGTAAATTGGAGAAAYAAAGGGTGTAGATCATGTGCTTTAGGTTTTGAAGCCATGATTGGTTATTGGTTTCGTGGAGAAGAGCGGATAGATACTTTTCTCTTCCTATAATTGTTTGGTCTCTTACAGACCGTTTAATTTTCTTCAATTTGTCTGACTCGATTGGAAAAGGTAAACAAGAAGTGTGGTAAAAGGGCCTCGACTGGGGTTTCCTTGTTCACGATCTATGTTTTGATCTGCGAAGCTTTGTTTATGGTTATGAATTGTTGGGTATATGCTTAATTTTTTCCCCCAATATCTTTGATCAAGAAGGCTGTGTGGGGCTGGGGGTAAAGCGGATCAGAGATTGAAAGTGGGATATGTAACTAAGGGGATGAGTGGTGGATTATACTTTCTGCTTTTTGACGAATCGATGCTGATGCTTCTGTATTGTGTGGTTTCATCTCTGGATCTGTATGTCTTGCAGATTTGAGCAGCTTGATTGATAGCTCGTAATTTGTTTGCTGGTTACCCGTGTTCTACTCCGGACAGCCAAGTTTCATGTCTGAATTCAACGTGCAGATTCCATCTGCTTTTGGTAGCTTCACAAGTCCCTGTTCTTGGTTTTTATGTTTTAGTAAGTTGTATTGCATAAGAAGCTTAATTGTTCGTTTGGAGATTAATAATTTTGTTTGGTGGTTAGACCCATTTGCTGATGCAAATGCTGAGGACTCAGGGGCCGGGGCAAAAGAGTATGTTCACGTGCGCATACAGCAACGTAACGGGAGAAAAAGTTTGACAACTGTTCAAGGATTGAAGAAGGAATTTAGTTATAACAAGATACTCAAGGACCTGAAGAAGGAATTCTGCTGTAATGGCACTGTTGTGCAAGATCCTGAGCTAGGCCAGGTGAATTCTCCCTCCCTAAACGATGATGTCTGTTGAGGCCCCCACTTTTTTGTTTTTGTTTTTCTTCTTTTTCTGTTGATTACCGTAAAGAGACAAATAATTTCCACTTTCGGATAAAGTGGAGTGAAGGGGGGTGTAGTTTAGTTAATAGCAATTAGATGCAAGAATACTGGTGATGCTCTATTAGGTGAAGGTGATAAAAGAGGCAAAAACAAAGGTGCTCTAGCATTAGAGAGGATTGATCTCTCCCCAAGTTACACATCTCACATTATATCCATTGTACTTCTATCATACCTGCATATTTTTAAACGTAACCAAAAGGGGTCTCCTTAAGCTGATGATACAAATTATTCCCACTGCCTCTAACTAACTTGCTTACTCTCCTCACTTAACTTTCCTCGTGAGCTCTCCTTGGATATGTAAAATGTATTGGAG